AGCGTGACCATTTTGAGATTGTCAGAAGTAAACACAGCTGGAATTTAAGGCCTGCCAATTAGGTAATTGAAGCAGGTCAAAATCGAATGATTTATGGGAATTAAAAAATTCACATCACAGCTTTGAAATTATGTTTGCCCTGATATACGTTAAAGGCATGGAGAGAACCCTGCTTATCCGTGGATGTTATATAAGTGTGAGCGAAATTCGGATCAGCAGTCGGCATTTAAGACTTTATAAGAGTTGGAAGGATCTTGTGCGATTATTCGTTCAAAACTAGTAGTTTGTTGCTGTGCATAGTGTCAGCTTTATTCACCACAACCCGAGTGTTTAGTTCTGTCACTGGGCCTATACACCGCATGGTCCCTATGTCAGTTAAGCCAGTTAAGCCCTACTATCAGTTAAGCCACCTTTTTCAACATGTAATCAGATTATGTTACAGTATTGTTTTCTTTTTCTCGGGGGGGCTGTTTAAATTAAGCTAGAGTGAAATGTGTGTCATTACTTACTTTTTTTCTGATTTGCCTGAAAGGATCGTTATCGTTTATTTTTTGTTTATATCTATATATCAATAACAATGAAAATCACACAAAGTTTATTAGTTAGCGAACTGAATGAGAAAGTAAAGAAATTTCATGTCACGTTCTAATTATATTTGCAGGAGGAACTTGGATTATTTTACAAGCAGCCATCAGAGTGCTGTCAGTTCAGTGGACACAGACCAGGGCAATGGGGAGCTGACGATAAAGGTGCCTCATGAAGCTACAGACTTCATAGCGGGTATGCAAATATCTTTAATGTAAATTCCAGAGTCGCAATTACTACAGAAAGACAATATACGAGTAATTACTCCACAGTTTTTTAAATATAGATTTATATTAGACCATAAATATCATATGTGTATGTGAAGCACTGAAGGAAGGTTGAATTACAGAGCTGAAGCCCTTCAGACTAAGTGTGGACTTCTCCCTGGAGAAACCCCAAGGAGGAATCCAATTTGTCGTTCCAGAAGGGGAAGGAACTCTGGCAGATGTGAGTATTCTTCCGTAGTGTTTATTTACCATATAATATTCGTTGTTCAGCTCAACAATTTTTTACTCAATTCCATTCCTAGTTGAACAGTAAAATGCTTTGAACATTCAGCACCCAAAATGTGTACATAACCAAGAATCATGATAAGCCCACTCTATTAATCAATAAAAAATGCAATAGCTATCACGACTCGGCTATCATAAATTTCGAACACCATTAATTTAACGGTGTCACATTTTTTATGAAGATCAAAGCTAACAAACGTGCTTCCCTGCACGTTTCCTGACATCTGTATTGTCCGAGTTGACACGCTCGCCAAATATCAGGCTTGTCCTGGTACTTGCACCTGTTCAGTCTTATCTCTACGTAATCCACACAAACCAGCTTGCGTGTCGCACGTTTTCGTCTTTCGTGTTTGAAGCCGCCGTGCCAAACAAAAACCAGCGCGACAGACTGGGCAAACGAACGAACAGAGACTCGAGTGTGCGAGTGAAATTATTTACAAGGGCTGAGCGCGGCGGCGGCGGCGGCGTCACGTTCGGTCAACAGCAGTGACGTTGAGCTCCGGATGCAGGTTGGCCCAGCCGCGGCGAATCTCGTCTTCCGTGAGGCTGTGGAGGACCGTCTTACTCTGCGGCCGCGAGACGTACGCGCTCACGCTGTCGCTCGCAAAGTAGAAGTCGGCGTCGGCGGCGGGGGCGAGTCCCGCGGCGCGCGCGAGGATGCCCGTCACGTAGACGTCCTCGAGCGCGATGACGGGCGTGCGCAGCGACGCCGCGTACAGCGCCGCCGCGACGTCGCCGCTCATCACGTACGCGGGGCCGAGCAGGTACGGCGGGAACGCCGCGGGCTGGTAGCTCGCCGCCGACACGTACCACTTGTGCGCGCGCGTGCGCACGGGCCGTGTCGCCTCCGAGCGGTTCCCGAAGAGCACGCGCGTGCGGTTGGCGGCGGAGAGGCGGCGGAGGAGCCGCTCGACGTTCAGGAGGGTGTCGTCGGCGTCGATCTTCATCACGAAGGCGGCGTCGCGGCACTGCGTGCTCGCAACGTGCAGCATCATGACCGACTTGAGCGTCAGGTTGGCGTAGTGCTCGCTGAAGTCGCCGCACACGATGTCGCCGTGCGCGTGCGCCTCGGCGGCGACGGTGCGCCGCGATGCCGCGTCGCCTGGGTCGGCGAGCACGAAGCGCAGCAGCACGTCGCCGCGGCGATGCGCGTCGCCACCCCACGTGTCGCGCACGGTGGCGCGCGCCGCAGACGCTCGCGCGGCCGACGCGGCGAGGATGAGCAGCGTGAGGCCGCGCGCGCACTCCAGCCGCGGACGCTCGTACGAGAACTCGTGCCCGCCGGCGTGGAACCTCACCCGCGGCGAATCGTCGTCGATCGGCGACGGATCGTCCTCGACCGATGATGGTGACGTCATTGCCGTCAGCTTCGTGGTCGTCGCTGGCGGCGGCGGCGGCGGCGACGACGTCGGCATCGTGGTTGGAGTTAGTGTTTGCCTCGTCATTGGCGATGTCATCGCCATCAGAGTGGCGGTCGTCGCCGGTGACGGCAGCGGTGGCGATGGCGACGTCAGTGTTGGTGGCAGACGCGGGGGCGTCGGGGAATCGGGTTGCCGCACTCTCGGGTGCGTTGTGGCAGAGCCGTGATCGCCACGGGTCGCGTTTCGCGGCCGAGCCCGCGGAAATATCGCGGACGAATTCCCGCGTAGCTCGCTGACGTCCCCATCCTTCGTCTGTACCCACTCCAGCGGCCCGTCGTCGCTCCCGCCATGCCCGCTGCCGGTTGAATTCTCTACCGGACCGTCCGAGTCGACTTGACCCCCGACGCTGTTGTGCCTCGATGGAACGTCCGTCTCGTTTCCGACGAGACGCAGGGAGGCGAATCCTCTGTTGAGACGCCCGCGGACGCTCTGGGTCCTCTCGTAGGGAGCGTAGCGCTGGTCCGCGGTGACCCAGAGCGTGAGCGCCACGAGCAGGCTGCAGCACGCGTACTTGACCCTGTGTGCTATATAAATTGTTGAGAGACGAGAGTTAGTAGATAAGTCCTGGTATGAAAGTCCCTCGCATGTGAGTTACGCCGATTAGTTGGCATAATTTACCGCACACCAAAGCAGTCCAAAGCTTTACAGTGAAAAGCGCGTATCGTATGGTTTAGGGAGGCTACTCATATAAAGTGTACAGTATTTATTGTGGTGTGCCCATTTTTTCAGCGCTATAATAGTATTACACTGAAAGGTAAATAGAGAGGTCAGGTACCTCGGTACAAACCTGCCCTGTGCTATCTCTATTTACCTTTAAAACAAGGAAAGACATATTCAATATAGAGATATTTTTCATAGTGTTGCAGTCATTGCTGCATCCAAGGATCACTCGTCCAAGATGCTTTCACGAATCTTTCTGATCATGAACCCATTTCATATTTAGAATTTCACATAATTTACGATTAACGGAACTGAATTATGGTATTTGCAAAAGAGCGCAACCAAATCAAACTCAAGGAATACTTACACCTCGGCATCTTTACAGCTTTTCACGTCGAACGTGTAAGTTTTCGCGCGTGATTGTCTAGCATATTCCTTGCTAATGTATATACGTAATCGCAAGCGGGTGATCCGTCTTGGTGTGCGTCTCCGGCTGAGTTAAAAGTGCTTCTGTCACCGAGCCCTACTTTAATACGTGCCTTATCGGCTGGTGCGTTGATGCGCAAATACGTGCGGGTTCGTGCGTTCAGTGAAGGATCTAGTTATAATCTCTTTACGGCATGTAATCTAAACTAAGGTATGGCCTGGTATTGGCTCGGGGGAGGAGTAGTGAATACGCAGTATGAAGCAGTCTGATTGAAGCGAAGAGTGAAAATAATTTTCTTTGGGGAACCTCTGGGTTTTTTTTCGTAGATAAGTGTTTGTTGATGAATATCATTTTCGTATCACGTTTATCTACGTGATCGTATTTGCATTAAGCACGGCAGCCAACCAAGGTGCAGGCGATTCAAGAATACGCGCGTGTACCCGCGTGTACGTGCGTGTACGTGCGTGTACCCACGTGAGCGTGCGTGTAGATTCAAGGCATCAGATAATCCCATAGCCAGGATTTTGGCAGATAATATGTCAAAAATATATATCATATGATAAGGAACAGATAACCTTGGCATTACATGGGATGTGCGTGCGTGCCTGCGTTCCTGCGTGCGCCCGTGCGTGCGTGCGTGCGTGCGTGCGTGCGTGCGTGCGTGCATGCTTTCGTGCATGTATGCCTGGTTGTGTCACTGTGTGTATGTAATATATATAATATATAATATATCATATAAGTATGTATTTTATATCATATCGGCGTGAAATTGTATTGCAATGCAACTTTGTATAGAAGCTTTAATATTTAATGTACTGAAATTTATCACTACAAATAAATTAATATCGGTTAGGTATAGTAATATTAGATAATAAATATATATATTACTCAAGAGATTTAAATAGAGAAGAGTAATGGACAACCGTTTTAACGCAATTTTGCAGTTTTCGGACTTGCTAAATATTCTATCATATGTGAATAAATATATTTCCAAACCTTTATACCTGTTTTCCGTCTAATCGATCTCCTTATATCATATGAACAGCCCCAATTTACCGTGTCGGTTAGTAGTGTCTATCAAAAAAGTTCTTTGAATACGACACGGTTTCACACAGTTTTTCCCAAATGTCGCATGTATTTTCGCTTCAAAGTTTTTATGATAGTGTCTATTGTCTATGACGGAACGACTAGGGGCTGTTGGGGATATTCAGCATCGAATTGTAATCAGCATGTGCGTTTACAGCGCTGCTAGAATAATTGTGCCACTGGTCGGCTGGAGCAGTGATTTTAGCTGTGTTGCATCCCATGTTCAGTCGCTAATGCAAAACGCTGTTAAAAAGTGTCATACTCTTTCTCATATTTTGAATTTTCGTATTATAATAATAAGTACATACATATACAGGGTTCTCAAAGAGGCAGCTTATAGCCTGGTGGCCCGGCCAGGGCTATCGTCGGACCCGCGCCATCACTAAACAATGCCCTGCCATCATAAATATCATAGCCGCCAATGCTAATAAAATTAGCTAAAAAAATGCTAAAACTAAGGACCGTAAAAGGCAGCCCCGCCATGCGTACTATAATGAAAAAGCTTTTGGAGAACCCTGGATAATATATATACATATATTTATATATATTATATATATATATATATGTGTGGTGTGCGTGGTGTGTGTGCGGCGTTCATTGCGTTCATTGTGTGGTGTGTGTGTGTTGTGTGTGTTGTGTGTGTGTGTGTGCCGTGCGTGGCGTGGCCGTGCGTTGGCGTGCGTGCGTGCGTGGCGTGCGGTGCGTGCGTGCGGTGCGTGCGTGGCGTGCGTGCGTGCGTGCTGTGTGTTAGTGGCTGTGCGTCGGAATCCGACATGAACCAAAAAACGCGATCCGACAGCAATTTTAAAATCGCAATCCGAATCCGAATGCCGATGGCTATTTTGAATCCATCCCGAATATCCGAAATACCCTGGGCAATTTTTGAAGGTCGCGAATGACCGCAATCCGAATCCGATTGTGTATATCGCATAAATGCCGATCCGATAATCCGTACCTGAATCCGGAGACATAGAAATTCGTAAATAGTGTGACAGCATTGTTATTCGTGTTATAATTTGTTTCAACATCAAACTTTGGGTGTATAGAGAATCAAGGGCATGGGGGTGAAAAGGGGGACTGGTAGACGTAGAGAAAAGTTAGAGAACGGGAAATGATCGGGATCTGGAACGATCACATGCATGCCAAACGTTGTCCAGACGGCTTATTTCCTGAGGCATGGCCTGATTCCATCTGGTTATGTTTTCTCTCTCTTGTCACAGCACACAACCGCAAACACGCACGACCCTCTCTTTCCTCTCTCTCTCTACTCTCCTCTACTGATCTCTCTACTCTCTCACACACAGGGCGCAACACTCGGCAGCGCACACACACAACACACACACAACACACACACACACACTGCGCGCATACTGGACAACAACAACACAGACACAAACAGCGCACAACAGTGCTCTGCTCTCTACAACGACGCAACACATACACGACGCGCAACATCCCTCTCTCTCGCTCTCTCATCAGTCTCTCTCTCTCTCCTATCTCTCTCACACACACACACACCCACACACACACGCACACCAACCGCCGCGCGCGCATCACCTCTCTGTTTCTACGTCGCGCGCATTCTCCTCTCTCTTCTCTCTCTACTCGTCTCTCTGCTGTGTCACACACAGCAAACAGCAAACACAAACACGTTCTCTCTTTATTTCTCTCTCTCTCTCAGCACACACCACACAACACGCGGCAGCCGCGCGCACCTTCTCGTCTCTTCAGAACTCATACACAAAGCTCCCTTCAGGTTCCTCTCTCTCCTTCTCGAACACACACAACACACACACCGCCGCGCACTGACACACTACACATCTCTCTTTTTCTCCTCTCTCTCTCTGACACATACACACTCCGTGCCTCTCTCGTTCTCTCGATCTCGTCATCTCTCTCCTGTCACAGCACCAACAACACTAAAACACGCAGCACCATCTCCTCTCTCTCTGGTCACACTACACACCACACACGCAACACCTCTCTCTTTGTTCTCTCTGACACATACACACTCACCGTTTCTGGGTTCTTCTCTCTGCTCTCTCCTCTCCTCAGTCTGACTCCCTCATCTCCGGTCTCCATCTCCTCTCGATATCGTCGATCTCCTCGATAAACTCTACTCCTCTCTCTCTCACTGCTCTCGTCTGATCACACAACACAACACAAACACCGCACATTCGTCTCCCGGATTCCGGCGAATCCGAATCCGAATCCGAACATGATTTTTTGAAAAATCCGACTCTCGATCGCGATCCGACGACAATTTGAATACCGAATCCGAATCCAGAATCGGATTCCCTTTAAAATCCTGTCAAATACCGATTCGAATCCGAACCGATCGGATTCGGATCAGGACTCGGATTCGGATTATATCGGAATCCGACGGACCACGCAACTAGTGTGTGTGTATATATAAGATATTTAAACATACGTCTGGTGTATATTGCGTTGCAGCGGGGCGCGCACATGTTCACGTACGGCACTGCGAACTCGTCGCGGCTGTGGTTCCCCTGCGTCGACTCGTACAGCGAGCACGTGCACGTGGAAGCTTGAGTTCACCGTCGACTCGACGATGACTGCCGTCTCGTGCGGCGATCTACTCGAGGTCGTCTACACGAGCGACCTTCGCAAGAAGACCTTTCACTACTTTGTCGGCGTGCCGACGAGCGCACCAAACATAGCTCTGGCCGTCGGGTGAGAGATTGTAATACTTGTAAACTTATGTATACTGATTACTTATAGTACTCAGGGGTAGAAATTAACTTTTAAAAATTGGGGAGTCCAACGGATTCCCTGCCCTCAAAAAGAG